TATATGGGAAGAAGAAATTCTTTGTTGTATTTTTAGAGAAAGTGATAAGCAATGGTGTTAAAACTGAAGGAACTTGTGAAGGATTTTCTGAAAAGAGGTTAAGAGAAAATGATAAGAAATTTGTGGGACATTATTTGAAGAGATTAAAGATCAAGATTTTAAGGCTTTAAAGATTTGTTTATAGGTATGAGATAAGGTATGGGAAGAAGAGATTCTTTTTGTTGTATTTTTAGAGAAAATGATAAGTTACTGTGTAAAGGAAAGGAATATGAAATTGATTTACTTGTTTAAGGTTAAAATATACATATTGTTATTTCTGGTAACTCTTAATGGACTTCAAGTTTGAATGATGAAGCTTTATTATTTGTTAAAAGATGAGATATGGGATGAAGAGATTTTTGGTTGAAATGTTAGAGAAGGTGATAAGTTACTGAAATTGTTTGCACTTGTCTTGATGAAGGGGGAAGTCATTTCTTTATATATATTTTTTCTTTATTATTTTCCCTTCCCCCTGTTTTTTTTCTCTCTGCACTTTTTATTTTTTTTAGTTGGTATTAGTTTTTTATCTTTGTATTTTTAAACTTCAGTAAAAATTATCATAAAAAAAGAGAAAAGTTGAAGAAGGCAATGGAAGAAGACCACAATGGCCTCCATATGGAAAGATGGTCTATATGTGGTGAAGGACCATTAAGAAGGATAGGAGGAGGTACTCCTGGCTTTGAGGACTGACTGACAAGCCCACCTGCTAAATATGAGTGCCAAAAGGGGGGATCTCAGAATAAGGTTCACTGATGGACATCAGATTAAAGAGGTGAGAACCTAAGAGGTGATCTCAGAGAATAACTCTGACAAACTCAAGATTAAGATAAGATACCAGAATGAGACATTTCTAGATAATGGGATAATTCAGTGTCCCGTAGTTAGGACTGTGCAAAAACATCCAGTCCCAAGTTGGGCAAAACAATGTCTCCATTTCCTCCTTGTGGATACTCAAAGGCATAAGATAAAAATGGGCCCTGGCCTAATCCAGCAAAGCTATTCTTAAAATGGAATTTTGCTAAGAGATCTGATTCACCGCCGCCCCACCCACCACCTGAAATCATCAAATTTATTCTCAGATTCAGGCAGAAATATGTGTGGTTGGAAAGTAGAATACCTGCCATGGCTGTATTTTCCAAATATCCAAGCTCTTCTCACCCTTCTTCAACATCTTCTTGGACCTGGATGAATAAGCAGTGTTTAAGGCCCGTGCCACAGTCCAGACCGTGTGATAAATGATGTAGTTGTCTATAGACAGGATCTTTTCAATCTCCTCCTGGGGGAGAGTCTCCAGGTCCTCTTTCTCTGGACATCTTGTCCAGCCTTTCACTGACAAACCAAGTTTGGAATAGGAACAATGAAATGCTTTACGTACGAACTGTACAATAGAAGCATAAAGGGTCTGAATGTTGATTGATTTTGTACTTTTATTTCTCTGGATGAGGAAAGAAAAAATGCACTGGGCGTTATTAAAAGGGAGAGGCCTTCGTAACAACTGAAAAGTGAAGTCCCATACAGCTGTTGTGATCAACACTTTCCCTACAGTGGGTTTTATCAGTATATCAAGAAAGAAGTGTGTTAAAACCATGAACTTGAGGTCAATAATTGCCTCTGCATAATAAATAATGACACTAACTTGACTCCATTTGCGGAAAAGGCTAGAAACATGGAGGAAATCTGTAATATTCATTGAGATAGTGTATGAGAAAACAACACAAACATCATTTTGGAGGAGCGCGGGGGTGAAGGTCCTCACAAACTGCTCTCCATTTTCATTGTCTCTAGCAACAAGGCCAGTCATGGTCCATCGGAAATGCTGGAGAAGTCTGACAATCCCCAGATACTGGGCTCCTTCTCTGGAGAACATTCGGTAGAAAAAGGGGAAGGGAGTTTTATCACTCTGAGGTGGTGGAGCAAAAGCGTAGCTAACCTGAAAAGGAATGAAAAGGAAAGGATGGCATTTCAAATGTCCTCTGTTTTGTATCAGAGGGGGAAAAAGTATCTGCTCACCTAGAGTTATTGGAAAGATGTTTGCTGTTATGACAGAGTGGTCCACCTCTTGTAATAAAACCTTGGCCACAGGCACTGTTTATCAGCTTATTCTACTCAGACATTGTACCTCTTCCTACTGACTTCTACACCATGGGAAGTAGGCTGTAGATATGCACATACCTGTGGGATTTTGTAGGTGGCCAACACGTTGGAAATTTCAGAGGAGGTGTCAGTCTCTGCCCCTTCAAGAACAAGGAAAAGGTCCTTCTGCCTGCCACAGCTGTAGTTAGGAACATTGGCCTCCCCAACTGAGAGCAGGTCCAACACAGCATCCCAAGTCATTCTGGTGTTCCAATAGTTATCATGGAGACTGTAACCCAGGGTGATATTGGGTAGGAGCTGGAGATCCTCGTTGATCTCCTGGATGGCAAAAAGGAAGGAGAGGATGTTCCAGTAGTACGTGGAGGCTATCCTGCAAATATACAGGCATTGTATGTTCATCGTCCATTTAATCCACATAACACATTTCAGTTCTAGGGGTACTTTTCCCCACTAGACTTTCTGTAACAAAGCAAGTAATTTAATTTCTGGAAGTCTGTTGTTGTTAGGCCAAAACCAAGACTACTTACTCCTTGTTCCCTTGATGGTCTACATTTCAGGCCAGTCAGACATTCTTTTAACCTGCCCTCCTTGGATTTATGTTCCAGGCTAACAACCTTAATAGAGTTACAGTGTGACGGAGTTCATTTTTGGACTGGATGTGTATTGGGAAGCAAAGATAGCAATGGACACGGAGATACACAACAGTGGAGGCTTTTTAATATGTCTGTGTGTGTGTGTGTGTTTTACCGTACACAGGGGGTATTTACAGAAGGTATTTACAACAGGGTGGATAACACAGTGTTGGGGTTGTGTTATTTTCCACATCTCCCTACCAGCAACTTTCCCTGTCTATTTCTCCTGCTCCCTCCCCCTATTGTCTCCATCTCCCTCCTCCCTTTTAGGCTTGATAAGAGGGAGAAAGGAAAGGAAAGGAAAGGAAAGGAAAGGAAAGGAAAGGAAAGGAAAGGAAAGGAAAGGAAAGGAAAGGAAAGGAAAGGAAAGGACTGGGGTTCCTGGAGGCTGCTCAGCATTGCGTGACTTTTTCCAGTTCAGCTGAAACACTGTCTGCTTCTGTGTTGGGGGAAGAACTTCTCTCAGGGTCTTCTGCCCAGTTTTCCCTAAAACTAGGGCTTCCATCCTGGCAGCCAATTCTCCCTTCTTTCCTCTCCAGAACCTTGAAGCCGCTACCTGCAACCAGCCCAAACCCTTCTAGTCGTCCAGGAGTCTTGGGTGGAGGTCGTCCCTCTGGGTCTTCTTCTCACCCCAAATAGGAACCAACACTTGCCTTAGACACCTCTCTTCACCTTCTTGCTCTTCTCCAGCCTTTTCCGTCCAGCTTCTCCATCCACTTGAGCAACAAACTTTTACTCTCCTCTCCTCCTCTCCACTCCTTCTATCTCTCCAACTTTCAGTTTAGACCAGCAGCATGTCCCACAGTAACTGAGGAGGTGGGTGCCCCCCTGGGCTCTAGTCCCTATCACCTACATACCTCCCTCTACCAAGGGGACTGGTCCCTCAGGATCTCCCCACATCAGCCCTGGCTAGCAGCCAGATCAGCTAATCAGGCCCTGTGACAGCACAGCTGCCCTTCAAGGCCAAAAGTGAGCTGTTCTTTCCTCCTCCTCCTCCTCCTCCTCCTCCTCCTCCTCCTCCTCCTCTCCATGTCTAGCTCACACCAGCAAAATCACAGCTATGACAGGCCTCGAAATCCATATGCTGCAAATAGAGAAGGACAGAAGAGGAAGATCTAGACCAGAGTGGTCTAGCTTTAACTCCATTGCTGTAAGAGTGACTTACGAGCTAGCTTTAGTAGAAGGACACTTGTTGAAATGATATGGTAGAAACTCAACAGTTGTTGCAGAAAGGACCCCACCAATGAGACGATCTCCTAGCCTGTAATGGTTTGGTGGATCTACTCCATCCCACTCCAAAGTCAAGGGACATTTGGCCTTCTGTAGCCCGTAGGCTGCATCAAGCAGAATCAGAATCAGAAGGAACATTTCTTGTGTGCTGGAGACAGTCACTTGCACTGTAGCTTCTCTCATAAAAGGTCCAAAGTCCAATGTGATAGGATTTTTGTAGCTTTAGTAATAGAGAGGGAGCCCAGTTAAGATTCCGCATTCGAGAAATGTGATGCACAATCAATACTCTTTTCTGAAACTCCACTGGCACAAAGGACATCTATGTATCCAGACTTCTTGATGTAAGATATTGCCAGTGGCAATGTTTAGTCTAAATCCCTTGAGATTTGGGATAAGGAAAACAAATAAATCACTACCTTTTTCATAATTATGAGAAACATCTTGTGACATTCTGATCTCTAGTGTGAGTCCATCTGCAGATGATTATCAGGAGACATCATGAAGTTATTCCTCCCTGGACCAGTAAAGGAGACCAGAAAGTTTGGACCATTTTTTTCCGTTGAAAGACTTTCAGAGTTGGTTAGATCAAAGAGGTCTTCATGCAGAGACATGAACAATCACACAATCTGGATAAAATACTTGTGAAGGAGCTTTCATCCCCACCCCCAAGTTTATGCTTCAGCACAAGAAGCATTTTATAGAAAAGAAACAACGGGCAAAGACAAATGGTGAACATATCAGGATTTGTCAGTATAGGAAAATGGAGAACTTAAGATGAAGTCAAGAGAACAACTAATTACAGAGGGATTTAGTTTTCAATGATTTTCATATACATAATTAAGAGAGAGAGATAGTATAGATAAAAAGGTAATTGTATTGAACGACATCAAAATTATATACAAAATCTGTCTAAGTGATGAACATGTTATTGCTAAAATGTATAAACTTTTTCTGAGATTTGAAACAGAAGAGGAACAAGTTAAAGAGTGCATGATAAAATGGGCTAAGAATTTTGGTTATAACATACGGATGGACCAATGGGAGAGAATGAGGATAAAAGGACTGAAATTCATATTGTCCTACGATTTAAGAGAGAACTTTTATAAAATGATGCACCGTTGGGATATGATTCCAGAGAAATTATCAAAGATATATAAAGGTACTTCTAATCAATGCTAGAAATGTAAAAAGCATGAAGGAACATTTGACCATGCGTGGTGGACTTGCAAAAAAGCTAGGAAATATTGGATACAAATACATATATTGATACAAAAAAATTTAAAGACCAATATTCAGATGAAACCAGAACTCTTCTTATTGGGACTTATGGATAGCCAATTAGATAAAACTTATGAAAGGTTGATTTTGTATATGATAACTGCAGCAAGGCTATTATATGCACAAACATGGAAAGGCTCTGAAATACCCACAAGATTTGGAGGAGTGGATTGTGAAAATGGCAGAACTTGCAGAAATGGCAAAATTGACTTGTTTGATCAGGGATAAAACAACAAGTACTTTTTTATAAACTGGAAACCTCTTATGGACATTTTGCTGAAAATGGAAAAAAATGAATTGGTGAGAGTTCTGGGGAAAGTATAGCAAACTGAAGATGGCTCTGCAAAAGTGGAACTGACAACCGCAGCAAAGACCAAGGAACCAGTGAGTAGACCGGTCCCTTGGAACCTCTCCAAATGAGGAGAGGATGGGAGATTGCCTACATGTGCTCCAGACAGCTTATAAGTTAAGAAGTTCAAGAATTTGAAATAAACAGGAAAAAGCTAAATAAGATTTTGATCTAAGACCGTTTTAAACAAATTAAGGGTCCAGTTAAATTTGACTTTTACTATAAGATTTTGGAATTAACTATAAAAAATGAATAGCTTCTTATGGAAACCAGACTTATTTTGGCTATCTTTGGTCATTATAAGTCATAATAAAGATAAGTGACTTCGTGATTTTAGAAACTGGACACTAGAGGGGATAAAGATTCTAAGTAGAAGGAAAAACAATACAAGTCTGCTTTTGGTGTCTGTTAGTACTGGGACTTACAAAATGACACAAAACATTGTAACACTGGAAATATTAAAGGAGATCTTTGAAGATTGGAGCCAGAAAGTAGTAGCTACAATATCAAGTGTCAGTAATGATATCTGACTCTATGGATAAACTGTTCAAAAGATGTTAATGAGAGGATGACAGATGTGGAGCGAATTTTGCATGACAAGACAGAGAAACTACCAGAAGTGAAACTACAAATGACAGGCCAAGAGAATGATTTGGAAAAGGACACTTTACTGGATGTACAAAAGAAACTGGCTGAAGTTTTAAAAATTAGAAGGAAATTACAGATGATAAACCAAGAGATTGACCTGGAGAATGTTTTCTTATTGGATCTACAAAAGAGACTTAAAGATGTCTGTGCAATGGGATAAAGAAGAATTGAAGAGAAATCAAATCCTACAGCAATATTTGAATGAATTAAAGATTAAGACTGTTAGAAGTAAAAGAAAAATAAAGTTAGTTTATTTGATCAAAGTTAAAATAAGACTTTTTTTGAAAAGTTTTGGCAACCCTTTACGGACTTTTTGCTGACACCAGGATTGAAAAGTTGATGTTTTATGAATTTGCGTATAGATAAAGGATGGGATACAAGAGGAAAAGATATCTGTTTAACCTTGTAAGAGGTGAAGAGTTACTAAATTTATCTATACTTGTTGTAAGGAAGGTTGGAAGTAACTTCTTTATATATTTCTTTTCTTTTTCTTTATTATATTCTTTCTTTTCTTTTCTCTTTTTTTCTTTTTCTTGCACTTTTTATTCTTTCTATTCTCTTTTCTTTCCTTAAGTTTAGTTTTTACTATTGTAATCAAAATCCTTAATAAAAAAATTATATATAAAAGAGAGAGAAACAGAGGGAAGGAAGGAAAGAAAGAAAGACCAAGGCTGGTCTGGGGAAAACTTCTTGAGGAGAACAACCACAGACAACAAAGAACTGGAACTGCATCACTTCTGGGACATCCTGAGCTTTGGTTGGAATCACGGGCAGGAGAGCAGATGGCGAACTCACTGAAACCACCCTTGCTGGGAGCCAGTGAGGAAAACCACCAAATTGGGCCTAGCCTTTTCTGGGAAATGCATTGATAAAAAACAGGATCAGTCTCCCAGCTTGGGTTAGGTAGTCCTGAAGTGGCCAAATCCTGTATGACATAATTGCTTAGGATCAGCCCTTCTGATAGGACCCCCTTGAAGAATGCATGGCCCTTCTAGGTCCACCTGCCTCAATAATATATAATTTAAGTTGCCACAATTTCCCACTCTTAAGCCAATAAACTCAAACATATAGAAGAGGGAAATGAGATGCTGGCAATTGCAGCT